TCTATACTCAGTATCTCGGAGATGGAGAAGGCGTTTCGGCGTCTTTACTAGACGTGAGGGACGGCTACGCTTCCAAGGAAGATTTTCATTTCAAGGCAATGGTAGTTACGTCTTTGCTCGGCACAAGACAGAATGCAAGTTGCTTCAGTGGAAATATCCCCAAATAGTAGACGAATTCTACGCCGTTCTCAGATGACGAAGGTGCTACGCCCTTTCCATCTCCGGGATATGGAATGTTCATAGATGCACAAGGAATGAAGACAAGAAACCTAACAAATCCAAACAAGAAGTTACTTCAACTCAAAGTTGTGCTGCGGATCTCTACCCAATTCTGGATACCCTGTGCCTCCTCAATCCTAGGAATCTGATGTAAAAAAACAAACTATACGCTCACTTCTCAGAACGATGCGAGTTGAATGGATCTGCAGCTGCAGTAGCGCGCACTCTTTTTTTCCCCGTTGCGAAGCGCACAGGAACGGAGCTGGAGGGTTGGGATACCCAGGTACCCTCTCCATACTCCGCCTGCGCTATCTTCAAGGTGCAGTGCTGCGTGAACGCGCACTTAGCGGTAGAGAACAACAAGAAGTGAGAGGAGCAGACGAGCAGAGCGGTCAGCTATGGTGAGGCGTGTGAATTGGCTGTGCAGCAACAGCGGACGAATTATGAAGAAGACACTCGGTTATCACTGACCTCCAGCTCCGTTCTCCGTGCATTTTTGATCGGAAGGAGTGGCTTGCTAGCGTAGCTGAAGACCCATTCACCTTCCTTTTTGTAAGGACGAGGAGGTGATGTACTTTTGTGTAGTTCGTTCTCAAAGTACATAAAAAAGGAAGACGAATGCTGCGTGGTAGGAGAAATGCGGTACGTGAACGGGTGCAGATGGCCATGATGTGGTTTATGTAGAGGCCTTGCAAACATGCTTGCAAGTAACTTTCTAGTTTTTCTCAGTAACTAAAAAAATACTCACCTTTTGAAATTCCACCTCGTGCTGGTCGCTAGCGCTCTTATCAATCGTCCACTTGTGAAAATCGGCCTGAATGCTATCACGTTTCAC